CAATAGAAAGCAAATATAACACCAATAGTTATAGGTGCCTTAGGTGCAATCCCAAAACATCTGGAGCACCACTTGAAGACCCTCGGCATTGACAACATCACCATCCATCAATTGCAAAAGGCAGCTTTACTTGGAACAGCTTACATCCTGCGACAATACCTTTAGCACCATCAAACAACAACATCTGCCTATCCCAGGTCCATGGGAAGGACTTGACAGGTGGATAAAAATGCCAAATCCAGGCTAAACATCTGGCTGACTGTGCAACCAACAACAACAATACACGATGCCATACCAAAAAATCTGGAAAAGCATCTGGGCATAATAAGAATGGACAGAATTTCAAGTCATCAATTTCAAAAAATTGCATTACTTGGAACAGTGCATATATTACAAGGATATCTTTAACTTTCCTATATCTATTCCAGTCATTAGATATACAGCTGGAATAATGGACTGGCCCCAAGCTGAACTAAATAGTCAAAAGTATCAAATACATTCATAAATTTCTAGGAGACTTTGGTAAATAACAACAATATAGATGTGTGTGTATGTGAAAATGTGAATAGATCCCAAAGGGACAGAAAAGGTGGGGGAGGGCCATTTATGCACACCTCCTTTTTCTGACAGCAATTTGTCAACAGCATTCTCATCTCTTTCTTGCACTTCCAGACTGGTTCACAGGTCTAACCTGCATTCTTGCACCTTGCAAATGTGTTGGGATGGCAATGCTCAGAATTCCAACACATTTGCAAAATTCCCTTCCCAACAAGGGAATTTGGGAGTAGCAGTCCCAGAACACCAAGAAGGAGAAGGGCAGCCCAGGGCACACCGGCATGCACTCCAACAAGAACCACCAGGTTGTTCTGGAAGACAACATGAAAGCCGTGGCACCAGCTTGACAGGAAGATTATGTCTGCCTATGTAGTCAACAGAGCCCAGCTAGATGGAGCAAACTAAGCCATTCTGCTGGGTCCAAAAAGCACATCACATTTGTTCATTCTACTCTTACTTTACAATGATTTTTTTTTCAATTTACCAGCTGCTTCTGGCAGGAATCCTGCTGCTGCTGAGTTTTTTGGAGGTCCTCCTTGGCTATCTCCAGTTGGCTCTGCAAGCTTTGGCCTTCCTTCTTTGCCTGCTCCAAAAGACGTCTAGTTTCTACAAGGGACTGGTTGGAAACTGACAGTTGCTTGCTCAGCCCCTCCCCTTCTTCTTTTGTCTTTTCCAAAAGTTGCAAAGTCTTTTCCAGAGTCTGGTCCATAACCTTCTTGACCCTCTGCTTCTCCTTTTCCATCATGGCCAGCTGCTTCTTCAGAGACCGGTTCTCGGCCTCCAGTTGGGAGATGGTGTCATGCAGCGTTGCTTGGTCTTCAGGACATTTTGTGTCTGGCTCTGGTGGGGCTCGCGAGTATTCAATGATCAGTAAACTAAGCAGGATGACAGTGACAAGGATGAACCCAAAGTAATTTCTCACCCATGTCCAATAGAAGTGCCAGGGACTGTGCTCCTTTAGATTTTCCATGACTGTGGAAAGGCGACTGTAGCTTACAAATCCACCCATGCTCGTTGGAAGCTGAGAGAAAGAAATTCTGGCTGACTCTCCAAGGGGAGGGTTCTGCTCTTGCCTGTGTATTGCTTTCTAAGTTGCCTGATCAGCTCATCCTCCCCCTTTTCCGCGTGTCCTCGTGATTCTGAGGAAATAGCTCCAGCAGTCAGACGAGGCTTGAAAAACGAAAGTTATCTCAGCTCAGAGTTTCAAAACAGGCCAGCAAAAAGCAGACAGTTTCTAGAAGGACACCCCAGTTGCAGGAGAGACTAGATTCAGAGAGATCTGTTCCACAGTTGCTGTGGTGACAGCAATGGGATTTCCCATCTATTCTTTTTTTTTCCTGATTTCTTTTTCTTTTTTGTTTCTATTTCTATTTCTGTTTCTGTTTCTTTTTTCCTTTCTGAGCCATGGACAGGCATTTCCCCATGGAGTATTCTGGGCACAAAGTGAGCGGAGCATCTAATTCCAGTAATTGCGTGCCTGCTCTCTGCAAATATTTATTAAAAAGCAAACTAGACCTTTGTCACTAACTGAAAGAAATCCAAGGTTGGTCCACTGCCTCTGCCAGCAATGATAAGGGTCTTCCAGTTTATTTAGGAACATGAAAAGCGATCTGGGTCTCAGGTTTTGTGAACAGTGAGCATATTTGGAATTTGGAGAGTATCTCGGGGCTTTTCAGCGGAACAGCTACTGTAGGGGATTCGCCCATTCACCAAATGTCTAATGTCAGAGACCTGGCAAATCAAAGTCATTTACCAAAATGCAACTTGAAGGGACGCTCCCAAACTCCCAGTCTCTCTTTGTCTTTTTTCTGGACAAGTGACCACCCTTTCATACCGTGCAACCTTCCCTCTGAACTCTTTTTAATTAAAGTAATAATTTATCTATTAAAAAGGATGGCCTGTTTCTTTAACCATTTGCATCATCATAGGACTTCTGCTTCAGTTTCTGTGCTCTTCCTTCCTCCCAATGTTGGAAAACTGCCCCGTGGATATTTGTGACGGGGGAGTGCCACAAAAGAAAAAAACCCCATGGATTTGGGGGCTTCTTCTAAGCAAATTCAAAGCAGCCGGAAGAACTTGCCAACATTGATAAAACTTTTAATTCAGATTGTGGCACGGTCTCCATGACCAAAATAAAATGGAAGTTTGCTTCTGCTGCCCTAATGCCAAAACATTTACAAGGAATACAGAAGTCAGGATTGTTTTGTTCCAAAAAAGAAAAGCGTAGTTTAGACCCCTGACATGACTGGCTACAACTAATTGTCAACTCTGGAACAATTAAAAATGGGCAGAAATACTCTGCAGTCACCCTCAGCTTTGGCAAAAGAGGGAATTTTTTATCTATCTATCTATCTATCTATCTATCTATCTATCTATCTATCGATCTATCGATCTATCGATCTATCGATCTATCGATCTATCTATTAG